CTCGGGAGAGGCTCCCGCGGGCGCCTGAGGGAAGGGGGCCTTTGCCGGCGGGCCCGGGTTTCCCCTCCTTTCCCTTCCCTTCCCGCTGGCTCGTTCCCTGCTTCAGGGCCACGGCCTGCGTCGCGAACCAGGCTCGGCGCTTGGATGGAAGGCCACTAGGAAATGTTAGGGATCGGCGGGAAGTAGAAAAGGCGGCCACTGGATGCAGATCCCTTCTGCGTTGGCGGCCGTGCCTCTCTGAGGCGCTTCTGGAGCGGAGTTCTGCTGCTCTTTTCTTGTTTCAATGTTTTAACCATTTGTAAGCTGCCCAGAGTAGCTGGGAGTGGGGCGGCCTACACATTTAATAAATTGAAATTCCTTGAACCCAGGCGACTGGGCTACTTCACTTAACCATGGTGGGTGGGGGGAAAACAGCCAGGGAAAGAGCACAGTAATGTGGTTTATTTGGCCTTGGCTTAGCATTTTGGAAAAAGTACAGTCCTGTAGCTTTTTCAATACACCACAAGACTTAAGAGCTATACATAGGAAGTCGGGGAGGCTTGGTTCGCACATTGCACTAAGCCAGTGTCTCTCAAACTTTTTGCTTTGAGGACTCCTTCCTGCTTTTAAAAAGTATGGAGTATCCCAAAAGAGGTTTTGTTTGTATGGGTTATATTTAGTGATACTTACTGCTTTAAAATTTAAAATTGATGTATTTGTAGAATATAGATTTATTGAATCATATAAAAATAACATTAAACCCATTACATATTAACATATTTTTCATGAAAAAAGCTTTATTTTTTAACAAATTTTTAAAAATAGTGAACAGTGACATTGTTTTACATTTTTGCAAATAATTTTGATTTTGCAGACCCCTGAGGGTCTTGGGGAACCCCCAGGGTTCCTCAGACAACACTTTAAGAAAGGCTGCGCTAAGCTATAGAGTTTGGTTGTTTTGGCCTTAACATATTGTGTGAATCCAGCTGTGGTTTTTAAATCATGAGGTCTGATGTGGGCTGCATGAATTATGGCTTAATATAACACCCCCCCCATTCTGCTTTATTCAATAAATTATGTAACCAAATCATTACAGCAAAAGGAAGCCAATCCCACAGTCCATAAACAGCCCAAGCACTGTTTTCGGGTATCTAGAAAGCCCCAAGCCGGTGGGGACTTTGTGGTGGGGGGAGAGACAGTTGAATTTAACTCCTTAGAAATCCTAAATCTTACTTCAAATTTCTCTATGTAGAGCAGTGTTCCTTGACCTTGGCAACTGGAAGATGTGTGGGTTTCAATTCCCAGAATTCCCCAGCAAGCGCTGCCTGGGGAATTCTGGGAGTTGAAGCCCACACATCTTCCAGTTGCTAAGGTCAAGAAACAGTGATGTAGAGAATGCCTTGAACTTCTACAGCCGTGTGCCTTGGCCCTTCTCTAGAAGTGCCCCAAAGAAGTAGCATGATTTATCATCCACCCCTCTTGTGATCCTCAAAGGCAAATATATAGACGCCATGTGTGAACCCTACCTATGAGCTCAGCTCCCTCAGTACTTTTTGGTAAAAGGATAGCTAGCTACTTTGTAACCCAGTGGGTTGCTGTGAACCAAAATAGCTGGATTAATTCATTTATTCAGTGTATGTATCGTGGGTATATCCAGAAAGCAGTTTCAATGGGAAGGCAGCTATTACAGGGGAACTACTGCATAGAAATCAGCTTCTGTAATTTAAGAAATGGATTTGCATTAATTTGTATGATATTAACAGAACAGCAACCATAACTGAATAAACATCAATGTTACTATTTTGTAGCCTAAACAATGCCTTACTGTTAATGCCTTACTGTGGCAAAAAAATATGGCTCCAAGTCATAGATATTTAGAAGTTTTCTTACAGTCTGTATATCTCCAACCAGGTGACCCCGTAAGCAAATCACAAAGTCCATCTGTTGCCACAGAAGAACTAGGTTAAAACTACAAGTAAACAGGCTCATCAGAAAGATCTTACTGAACAAGTTGTAAGCCAGTGGCACACAAAATGGTGAGCTCTCCTTTGCTAGAAGTCTTCGGAGGCTGCCAGTGATGCTAAAGTGGATCCTGCACCGAGCAGGGGGTTGGACTGGGTGACCTCTCGTCACGTCCAACCTGGTGATTCCCTTATCACAGCAGTAACCCTGTAATTTGGCACTGACTTAAAAAAAAAAATGCCTTAGGTTTTTCCTTTTGCAGTGTGGCAGTATTTGTAAATAGTACTTCATGATTTGAATTAATGCCAATGTAAGCTTTACTTTGTTTATCGTTTTAGGGATTTCTGGGTAACATTATCAAATTCAGCAGGATCAGTTTATTTCCTTCTCTTACTTGATATTCATTAATAACTGAAAATGGGAGGAATGCAGAGGCAAGAAGGTTTGAGGGGAAAAATATAAAAGTCCGTACTTTTTCTGTTTTTATTTTTCTCCCCTGCTCCCACATTGGATTTTTTTAAAAAAATTGGGAATTGTCTGGATAATTTTATTTTAAATTTCACAACCAGGCCAAACAGGATCACTTTACGGGTAAATTAACTCACATATACTGCACTGCATGCTCTTAAAATAGCAAAATGAACTAAGATCAGTAAAGGGTTCCATTTTTAGCACCACATACCTTTTTTGCTGTGACTAAAATTTCCAGAAATTTTTCATTTCTAGAGTCAAGTGATTCCAATAAAAGTACTTCCTCCTACTCAGGACAAGAAACTTACAAGGATTGCATTAATCTCTGACTCAGAATAGGTCCTCCAAAACAATAGCAAATCAATTCCACGCTGCTGTCAAAAAAAGTGTGGCTTTGTCACCAGGAATCAAGTTTGGCTTGATAGCATCTTCACTTTTTTAATCTTACCAGTTTGATTTCAAATGGCAGAGCAGGGGTGAGTGAAAAAAGTCAAGATGGTAGCTGTGACTGCAGGTCTGAAGCCTCACCTTTCAAATGGGTGGTGCAGTTGCTTTTTTTACCCACCCATGCTTCCCACCCACACACACGTGGTAGAACAAGCTGCAATTAAGCATTTCTAAATGGGACGGAAAGGAATGTTCATCGTTTTGGGCGCAAAAGGAAAAGGATGCTTCAAACATGCAGGGATGTACATGTGGCACCTCTAACCACATGTGCTTCTGGGATCATGCTGCAGCTGGCTGGGAAAGGACAATGCTTTAAGGCATTGCTGAGAGGGTCTATCTTAGTGCCCAAAAGCCTCTTTAAATCCAAAGCTCTGCAGAGCCTCAAAGATGAGTATATGAACAAGATCAACCTCATCCTCAGGCTAGCCAAGGATCTCTATAAGCTACAGTCAGCAGGTGGCAACGAAAAAGCTAAGTACAGTCAGGCTGATGAACAGGAGACCACTAGGAAATGCCAGGCTGTATGCTAGACTGGGAAGTTGAAAACATCTTGGAAGTAGGCAGTAGCAAGCCACTTTGTTGCCAAAAAGGATGGAGATTTCCATGTAGTCACAATTTAAAGGGAGAATTTACCTTTGCTGAAGTAACATTGCTATGTATATAAACTGCAGCAGTTTCTTGGAAATGCTTCTATTGACTAAATGGCAACAATATGTATATAAATGACAAAGACACTGCAATTCAATTTCTATTTATAAATCGCCCCCACTGAGTCACTCCCAGGTAATAGATTCAATATCGCAACTTTGGTTGGTACATACAGATAGCTACTCTTCCAAACTGCAGCATAGTACAGAACTAGTGTTCAGAAGTTACAGAACAGTATGTAAAGCATCTAAAAATTCCTCAGGAAGACCAACATTTAAGTACAGTTCTTTTTATCATTCATCAGTATCTTAAATCTGCACAAAAGGGAAATGTGTACAGTAATTCTAAAGACATATATTTATACTGTTTGGAATATTCAGTCATATATTGTTATTCAAGTCATTTTATTTAAAAAAATAGGTACATGTTTCTGCCCAGAATTATATCAAAGTACATATTTAAAGATACATACCTTCAATTTTCATTCAAGTCAAACCACAGAATTTAAGATTATATGTGCTAGGTGCAGGCCATGAGCAATACCCATTTTACAGTTACTACTTTTTGGTAACATAGCCAGTATCAGTTCATAATCGATATATAGTATTTACAATAAATAAATAAAATTGCTTTATATTAAAATTTTGAGAAGTGATGTAATTGTTTTACAATTTTAAGTGTGATCATCAGAATTCTACCTATATAAAGTCCATGGATCAAACAAATCCTTAAAAGACATTTACAATTCCCCATGGGCAACAGGAAAACAAAATTGGATGGTTTCTAATGAAGAAGGCTAGTTCAGGAAAACAATTTATCCA